CCGCTGTAAGCCGCAGAGACACCAGACCAGTAATGCACCGAACGCGGTACCTACTACGGGCAAAACCACCGCGAGGGTGATGACCACGGGTGTGAGATCGGCTTGCTTCTTAGCAGCCCGGGGGCTGGAGCTCCTGATAGCAGCAGAGGACGAATTTGAGATAAAGGGCGGTCGAGACCTAGAAGAAATAGGGGTAGTGGGAGGGACGGGAGGGAGCGGCGTAGAGAAATTACGGGTAGAAGGGACGGGAGGGAGCGGCGTAGAAACATTACGGGTAGAAGGGACGGGAGAGAGCGGCATAGACGAAAGAGGGGGTTCATCATCGCCCGTAGGAAAGGTGTTACGGGGAGGTTGCGGCGCATAGATTACGGGCGGGGGAGAGCTCGAAGAAACGATGGGTCTGCTCGTAGGAGGAACGGATGGAGGCGAAGATGAGATCGGAGAGCAGGAGGGCAAGTCCCAAGTGTCTATTTCGAACTTGTAGATCGCCTGGTACATTCCGACGTATAGATACGAGCCACCTTGGGAGATCGCCAAACCGAAAAGTTCCAAGCTTGAACTGTATGTATAGCGATAGCTGCTCGCACCTGCGAGTGTTCGGATGCTCTTCACGAGGCCACCGCTGCGTTCGAAGCTGATTAGCGTGATCCTCCCTGTTATATACTCTGACACGAACAGGTTACAACCGTCCGACGTTAACGCTAATCCATAGGGGCCGTCCACGTCCACGTTAACATACCCACTACCGATATTCTCCACCTCTCCGCTCGCAATCCAAACCCGGTAGATGGCGTCGCCGACTTTGTCCGCAACGTACATGAACTGCCCGTCAGCGGAGAAGGCATGCTGGCTCACGCGAACCTCAATGAAACCCGCGTCCCCGGGGATGCTGGCTTGAACCGGCCCAACGGCCGACGCTTGATCGATGAGTGGGACTACTGAGCCAACTCCGGGGGCTAAATCCCACCAGCATGCGTTGTAGTTGTAATCTGTGGCATGCGCAGATGTGGGTGACAGCTTAGCGACGCAGGTGCGGCAAGCATCCCATGGCCAGCGTTTGTTACCGCCGAATCCTTGCCGGTTTAGGGTTTGCCGTCTTGTCGTGCTTGGATTTCATTGGTTCAGTTGTTTGCCGTTGGTGTCGTTGTCGTTGTACAAAATAACAGCGAACAAGCCTTCGTTTCTTTTTACAACGATTGTACCGTGGACATTACTGGCGCATTTAGACGTTGGGCATCGTCTTTTGCCTACTAGCATAATTGCAGCATCCTGACATTGTCAGTGTGGAGTTTTTGTGCCTGCAATTGCGTGTGTGTTGTCAGGCTTGCGTGTTATGAGGTCGGTGGGTGTATGTAGATGGGTGGTGCGTCTATGCTCGATGGCATGGTTTCTCGGTTGGCGGTCGTGTTCTGGCGGTGGGCTGGTGGGCGGACCCCATCCCGTCATTCGGCCTATGGTTTGCCCGACTACCCCATTCCAACAAAACTCGGCCATGCTTATGGGGCGTAGTCCGTGCTTATGGCCCTCGCTCCACTACTCTCCAGGGCCAAGTCCCACTACCAACGTCGAGTTTCCTGAACACCCGAATCTGGACGTGTTTGTGGAGATGTGCAGAAATGGCATTGAGTTTCCTGAACCGCACATCTCCACAAACACGTCCAGATTCGGGTGTTTAGGCAACTGACTCATTTGGTAGAACGTGCAAAGATGCATTGCCAGTACTTTTTGGTCTTTAGTGCATACGGAGCGAGGCCCTAAGTGATCGCTCCATTGCAGTGCACGGGGGTGGTCCCATCCTACATATGCTCTTTTCGTGGGCTACGAACAGAAACAGGGTGTAGGTCCCACTAGCAATACCCAAGAGCCTAGTTCAGTGGGTACACCATTGGACTGTTGAAATACAGACCAGTGTTCGAATCTAGGGGCCAAGTCCCACCAGAGAGGATTGGATTAAGCTCCTGCATCTGGACGTGTTTTTTGAAGACATGCAGAAACGCAGTTGAATCTCGATTTTCTGCATCTGTCCACGCACTCGTCTAGATTCACGCGCTCAAGCCAATTCTCTTTGCTAGTGGGACCTAGCCCCTGAATTGCATGGGGCCGGTCAGCTCATTGAGGAGCTGAATCTCAGGTCCCACTAGCAGGTAGAGTTGGATTGAACGCCTGAATTGCAGATGTTTCCGCGCAACAATGCAATAAATAATGGATTGGTCCTTCGGGACATCTGGGGCTAGGGCCCACTTGCACGACTTAAGAGATACTGACCGTAGATAGCAAAGATCAACGGCCCAAATCTCCTAATTTGCGCAGGTGGGACCTTGCCCCTGTTCAAATTGGAACGATACAGAGAAGATTAGCATGGCCCCTGCGCAAGGATGACACGCATAAATCGAGAAATGGTCCCAAAAAAAAGAAAAAAAAGAAAAAAGAAAAAAAAAAAACCAACAACAACGCGAAATCCATACTGAACTGCTTTTCTGAATCTCGTCCCAAAACACGTCCTCGTTGTTGATCTTAATCCAATCGAAGAGCTGGTGGGACCTCGCCCCTGGACTCCCCGCCGCGTGTTCGGCGTTCCTGATGTGGAAGAATACTACACAGCGACTGGCATGCGCATGTATACTATATATTGGCTCAATTCATGGCACGTATGCGCCCACCATTCGAATTCAGAGCACCCTTTTTATCCCGGGGCAAGGTCCCACTTGCACGGATTAAGAGATTCTGGCCGTTTATCTTGGCTATCTACGGTCAATATCGCTTAATTCGTGTGAGTGAGACCTAGCCCCGGCTGCGCACGAACCATGGATTCAGTCAATCGATGGTCCACATGCAGCCCATTAGTCGCCCGTAACTTCCACGTGAGAGGAAGTCCCCGTGAATGCCATACCACGCACACGTTCAGACACGCACACACACACACACACACACACACACACACACACACACACACACACACCCCGAGAGAAAGCTCCCCTGAATATGAACCAACGAAAAGAACAAAAAAAAAAACAGCGTGTACGACGGTCATTACTACTTGAATGTGATTTATCGGTGTCTCGTACGGTGTGGCTGTGTTCTTACTAGGTCCCACAGTTTGATACGGGCCCGCTCTGCGGGTTGTGTTTACAATACATGAAACGCTGTAGTATTCGTCATCGCTCCTCTTTTAATCGTGGTTTCTGCTTTGACATCTCTCTCTCTCTCTCTCTCTCTCTCTCTCTCTCTCTCTCTCTCTCGTAATGGAAGGGAAAGATCATCGCTTTCCGTTGAGCGCCACGCATGTTCACAGTAACGCTCCTCACGAAATCTTCCGGACAGAGTCGCGTACCGACTCACATTCACACACACGCACACGGACGGAGTCCGATTCCCAGTCTGTCACTCGTACGCACACCCACACCTACACACGAGTGGGTACTCGATCTTACGCTGTCTCGCTGTCCATCTCTCTGGCTCTATCGCTGTGTATCTTCAGTCTGAGTGTGTCCCTTTCACGGCGATGCAAATAGTGTGTGTGTGTGTGTGTGTGTGTGTGTGTGTGTGTGTGTGTGTGTGTGTGTGTGTGAACGTGTGTGTGTGTGTGTGTTCTTCCGTTTAGCGCCATTATTTCAATGCATGTTTTTTAGGTGGTTTACGTCCTTCGACAATTTGTAGCATGCTATAATCTTTTTTTTTTTTTTTTCTCGTATCATCGTATGGATGCGCTCAAATCCCATGTCGATCTGCATCACAGTGGCAGTGATGTCCCAGGGCATACGACGTCAGATGTGCATGTCCCAGGCACCGTTCCGAAGCGGCCTGTCGTGAGGCTGGGTTTGGGCGCGTCCACGAGTGAAGAGTACGATGAGCTAGCGGAGCACCTACGCACGCGTCGGCTCGGCCCCGCACAGCACCGTATGCCTGTCTTTGCTTCCGCGTCCAGTGATGAAGGTGAGCCATCAAAACGAGGATTTCGTGCCTGGACGCCCATCAGAGGTTCTTCTGCCGTGCCTTCTGTAGTGTCCCCATTCGGTAGTGCTTATCTGCGTGATGGTATGCCATCTGCTTCTCCCGTTTACAGCGTGTTGTCTAACTTTCATCATCACGTTTCGAACGCAGCGCCCGTGAATGTGCTTTCGCACAATGCAATGCAGCCTCTTCCTAACTTGTATGTGCAGTCAGGTTTTGCGCAGCCCACGGATTGGCAAGCTAGGACAAGTGCTGGTCATCATGCTATTGACCGCGGTATGACATTTGAGAATGTTGTACTGGCGGGGGAATGGGGGAACATAGCGCCCTGCATGGGGACAATGATGCCAGTCTCGTCTTTATATTCTTTCCCACGTTCAGATATGACACCGAGCGGACACTTCACTACAGAGATGGCAAGCGGAACCCCATCACATTCACACCTTCCCCGTCATATGTCTACGAGCGCACAGTTGCAGACGGACGTCCACATGTCGAATATGTTACGGGGGCTGCCTGTGTTTTCGTCCATGTATCATGAGGAACCCTCCCATGAATTCCGACGGCCGGTTGCTGACAACCGTGATGGTGACACTCATAGCGTGGCACCTCCGTCTTGGAACGATGCATCCCGTCCTGCTTTTTTTGAAGGTCGGACGATTGGTAGTGAATTTTTGAATGCAATGCCGTCATCGCCGTTGCAAGGTGTTCCGCAGTCTACTGGATGCTATTTGCAGCGTCATCCATCATGCATATCAGGGCATCCAGATGACTCTGATGTTAGTGGTCATGCAGTGTTATCGCATCAAGGCGCATCCCAGAGTGGTTCGTGTGATGCACAAGGACCTCTCGATTCGCATGCCCCCTACCTGGCGGTGAGGTTTGATTCTGGGCGTTCGGACTGCCCACCGGGGGGTGAAGACGTGCATGTGTCAGGTGGCGAGTATATTACTGGAGGGGAAGTCCATATGGGTGTTTCTCCATCTGAAGGTGCATGTTCGTAAGGGATTCAATGCCCATCGGGATCGGGATCGGGATCGTTAGCAGCGGGTATGTCTTCGCATACCCCTGATGTGTGTGTTCCTCCTGTCTATACTGGCGGTTTGGAGGATATCGAGTGTGGTGCAGCAAGAATGGTCGGAAAGGAGGCGGCAATTGGCGGCGAGCAACGATTGACAGCAGATGATGATGTTGCGCAGGAGCGATGTGCTGTGGGGGGCGATGGAGGTTCTGATGATGGCAACGTGGACAAATTTGCTGATGCGGTGACTGGTTGTCAATCACAGTTTGAGGATGGTGAATCGCTGCCGTCGGCATCAGGTGTAGCTCCACATGTCGTGTCTGGAGCGGTTGGCGTTGCATCCACTCCTCCTAGCAATGGCACGAACGTTTCCGATCAACAGAGCGGCTCTCGATGGGGGGACGGCGAGACTGTTATGCTTGTCCGCCTGAAGTGTGAGGACAAGGTTTTCGTAGGAGTTGACTCTGAGAAGTTCGGAGTTGCAGCACACAAAAGACGTTCGTGGGTCGATATAAGTAAGAGGTTGACTGACGCAGGTTTCCCTCGGAGAGATAAGGAATGTAAAGACAAATGGCATAATCTGCACAGGTTCTACAGAAGGGTGGTGGATAACGACAGGCGGAGCGGGAAGCAGAGCTATTGGGATATGACTCCGCGAGAAAGGGGTGCAAAAGGTATGAATTTCATACTAAAAAGGGAGTGGTTCGATATGATTGATAAGGTTGACAAGACTAGCCCGTCGGTTAACCCAGGTCGTATGACAGATCCTGGGATGGTGCATGTTAGAGATCGTTCGGGCGCTGCTGCGGCCGGGGGGGGTGGTATGTCGGCGGGCGGGGATGGAGGGGGTGCGGAGTGTACAGGTGACGGACAACGAGCGGGTGGTATGTCGGCGGGCGGGGATGGAGGGGGTGCGGATGGTCCATCGTACGACATGGGCGGTGACTCCGAAGCTGTGCAATCTGACATGCCGCCGAAGCGAAAGCGAACAATTCTAAGTGCCCGAGAGCAGAGCACACGAAGCATCACGGCTGCTATGCGGGAGCATACGTCTTCTATCACCAAGTCCGCGCTTGATGTGTGCGATAGGCAGGTGGCGATGCAGCTAAAGGTGGCGAAGGGGGACAGAAAGGTCCGCCTGAGGACTGCTGACACAATCGGGACGAAGGTAGAAGTCGGATGCCAAGTGCTTGCGGAGGCTATCAAGAGCATTGGTACTACGGGGAGGCAAAGGCGACGAACAGACATGATGCAATCCAGTGATGAAGAATAGTCGTCCCTATTGCCTTCTGGCTTCGTTGCAGACTCTTACTTGCGTTGTTTGCATAGTGGAATGCGTGGAAGCGTGATGCCAAAGTTGGCATTATGTTTAGTAGTACAGACATTGGGAGAGTTTTTGAGGCTTAGGGTATAGGGATAGTTGTTCGAATGACAGGGGTCTGCCTATTGCACGTGTCGGCGTGATGACATCATTCGCAAACGAGCAATGTATCATCTGTGTAAGCTATGGTTATTTAGTGTTTGTACTATGTAAGCGGTATGATTAGATTTCTGTTTGTTTGTTTGTTAGTTTTTTTTTGTTTTGTTGATAAAGGTATGAGTACGAATGTTGATGTGACCATTGTGACGTAGTATTTATTCTACAATGGTAGCTGCAGTCAGTCCATGACAGCAGTTTTTTTGGTAGTCATTTCCGGCGTTTACCATGAGGGGTTTGGGAGAATAAGCCTTGTCCGCTTCCGAGGGTTGTTGCGTGTATTGTGTGTAGTTTAATTGTAGTTGTTTATATTTATTTTTTTGCTGACGTACCAGGTTTCAATGGTAAACGCCAATGGAGGCAGTTGGTAGTGCTAATTGCAGCGTGTGTTGCCTGGTAGCGTGTGTTTGCCCGAGGGACAAAAAAAAAAAAAAAAAAACGGCATATGTTTGATGTGCGTGTACATATCACAATTTTGAGATTTCGGGACAGTGTCCCACATTTCACAATTTTGAGATTTCGGGACAGTGTCCCACATTTCTCTCTCTCTCTCTCTCTCTCTCTCTCTCTCTCTCTCTCTCTCTCTCTCTCTCTCTCTCTCTCTCTGTGTGTGTGTGTGTGTGTGCCCCCCATCTCTCCAAAGACTCATCATCGGTGCTATGGACATGCCCTATAGTCAGCAAACAGTGGACAAAAATGCGTGTGAATTGGTGAAGTGTATTCAAAAGTGGTGGCATGACGGGTTATTCACGCATTGTTGAAGTAATGTGAAGTGATGCGCGGGGCGAGGTCCGACTAGCAAACAGGAATGGATTCGACGCCTGAATCTGGACTTGTTTGTCGAAAGATGTAAACAAATCATTACTCATCTGCTCTGTTTGCACCTGAAACACGTCTGCATTCAGCCGTGAAATTCAATCCTTTATGTGCAGAACCGCCACACACACATACACTCATGCTATGTGGGGCGTGGAGCTGCCCAAGCAGCGAGGGCTGCTTGCAGTTGTTACGATCCCAGTGGCATGTTATAAAAAAAAAAAAAAAAAAAAAA